CAGATGGGTCAAGGTGTGCTATAGACTGTTTTAAATGTGAACAAAGAGTCAGATCCTGAAGGTCCTATTTGCAACATACAGCTGAGATCAGTAGGACATGAAGAACACCTCTGTATTGCCTCCTATTTTCCTCACAGTGTTCCTGCACAGCAAGAATGTGAAGGAAGGGTGAAAGGACTGGAAGTCTGTGTCAATAGTTTTGTGAAAGAAATGACTTGCCAATTAAAACTCAGTATTGCAGCCTGACAGGACTCCACTGTGGACCCTGAGTCAGGCTGCAGGCCAAGGCAGTGCTTCACCTACTCTGCTTCCAGTTCAGCTTGCCATGCAGCAGACTGGCTGTCATATCATTGAGAAAAGAGCTTAGGAACATACTTTAGTAATTTTTTCATGTTCTTTGACTAATTAATTACTGCAAAGCTTCTGGGACAAATTCGGAATAACCTGGTGTAGTGTCAAGAAAAGCAATCACTGGATAAACATTGGATAAAGATGTGCATTTCCTCAAATAAAACTTGTCTGACACATTGTAACACAGATCCTCTCAACTATTAACCTGAAACAAAATTCTTCCTTTCACTTATTTCCTCTGTGTTAATCAGACCCATCTAATAATCTGGACCTAGGATTAAAGACTCCAGATACAATTTGCAGGTTGACACACTAATTGTATTTTGCCATATGCTGCAAAACAGTGTATAGCTAAACATTCAGTATGGATGAAGGTAAGTACTGTAAGTCTACCACTCGATTTGGTTTTAAGCACAGAAATAAGCTACCAGTAAGCATTAGTTGTAAGCCAAACCATACCAGCCTCTGAAGAAAGGACCCTCCTCTTCCACTCCTCTGTGAAGTGCTTCAGATATTTAGTAAAAATACAAATTTTACGGTATAGGAAACCCTATTGTGCAGTATCAAGGACAACCATCCTTTCAGAAATGCAGCCTACTTACTCACAGAACACTATTGCGCTTCCAAAACCTTTTTAATTCAATTTTCTGACATACCATTAACTTTGTAATGGAAAGCAAACATGCTCTCAGCAATCACAAGTCCTGTACGGCAGTGTCCATCTGTATGCACAATTAACAGAAGGCACACTTTTACACATTACTGAAGTTCACAGCACAATAGCCAGGCTCTAAAATAGAAAGCTTTGGGTAAAAGTTACATGGCCTTGGAGGAATACTATCCAAATCAACAGGAACTCTAATAGGATGAAGCCCTTGTTCCAGCCTTTGCAATGTCTGCAGTATCAAAGCTTATGTTAGGGATCTTATCAAGGCTATTTGCCGGTATAAAGATTGCATCCCTAAGCATCTGTAACATGCTACAATCAACTTCCACAATCAGCAAATTAGCATTACATAGCCAAGTATAATTCTGTAGCCAGCTTGGCTTTTGCAAATTCCTTACCGTTGTAGGAACAGTCTTATTTGCTTCTTGATAGATATGTTGCTCTGAGACTAAACTGCTAGGGAAATAACCAACTGTCCCCATATGGTCTTCATACTGTTCTCCATAAACCTTCAAGCAAGGAGATGTATAATTAGGTACCTTAAAACAATCCTCATCTGGTTCGAGCTGGTTTATCATTTAGTCAAAAGGAGTCACCCAGTAGTGTTCTTACTCTGGTTTTACACTTCCTAGGTTCCAATCAGCTGGCATATGAAACAAACCAGGCATAAAGCTCGAGCAAACTGAGACTGCTTGTAGTTTGTCTGGATCTTTTTTTTGTAAATGCAGTTAATATTTATCTTTGCTTCGCTTAAATTTAAGAGTTTTATGACCAATTGTGATAAAAGCTTTCTCCTCCAAAGTTTCAGCAAATAGCCACAGAAAAGAACTGTTGAGCCCTTCTGTTAAGATTCAGTTCATAATTCTATATAGCTATTGAAGATATTTCATTTTAAAAAAGAAAAATATTACAGCCCTCAAGACTCCTCAACCAGTCTGTTTAAACTTTCACTTTTAAAACTAAGTTGTTGCTTTAAACCCCACAATAGCTTAGCATTAGCATCCATTTTTTGACAGAAATGTGTGTTAATCCACTTCTAGTTTGTTCATATATACAAGAATCTCCTCTTACACTTCCAGCCCAGAATTCTCCAGAGTCTTTTTCTTTCACTAGTTTTGAGTAAACATAGATCAACTGCCCTTTTCTAACATTGATGAATCTGCAGTCTGAAGCATTATAATCCTCTTCTGCTCTGGCAAGGGAAATAGTGTCTAGGAAAGAAAAACACCAAAGGAATGAGATGGAGGTATTTAAATACATGGATAATTTTAGAGAAATACAAATACATGTGGGCTTTTATGCACACAGGTAAAACTATTTCCACAGATAAAAATAGGTTATCTTGAAATCAGTAGAAGTCTTAAAGAATTTGCTCTGCTCATTTTGCTATTTTACAGTAAGCGGAGTAACAGCTTAAGATCGTGCCATTTCATCACAGTGAAAGTTACAATCCTTCTCTCTACACTTAATTTTCACTTAAAAGAAAAATGTCCTTTACAAACCCCACTTTGCAGTAAAATTATATGTGACATTCCACATCACCCTCCCACTCTACTTTTAAAGCTGACAAGTCAATGCAAATGTAACATAGCTAAGTAAGCAGAGTAGTTTTCACCTCTCTCTAACACATCCGAACTCCACCGTTATTTTTGAGACTATTTTGTCCTCAAAATTAAAGCAGATTTACTTACAGACACAGTCATCATCAGCACACAGCTTCTTGCTGGAAAGCTTGTCCATAAAAATTCCAGTTGCAAGAGGACACATTAAGCTGAGACACAAAAGTAAAACCACCAAATAAACACGTTGTGTCATTTTTCTTTGCCACAGCACTTGAGGAATGTGTGCCAGGTTCGATGATTCCAGGCTTTTATGGAAGAGGCAGACACCTGGACAAACACGCTGGGCCAATGGGAAGGGGCTGGGGTGACATTCCACCCCACCGCCGCGGGCAGGGGGAAGATCTCAGGGTCCACTCACAAAACCGAATCCCCTCCTAAAGCCATTCTGCATTAACATTTCAATCATCAACTGTATTATTTAAACAGGCTAAGCCTTCCTAGACTTGTCTACAGCCTTAATCTTACCTCAAACAAAGTTTGAAAATGGAAATTAAGTCAGATCCTGCTAAGCAGCAAAGGAAATTACATCCTTCCAAATCCTCCTGTCCTTCATTTTTGCAACTGCTCACTGACAAGCATGATCTTTGCTGGACTGTAAACCCTCAGTGGCAGAGATTCCCATTTCCATCTACAGAAAGGACCTACTGGGACTCTAATAGACGGATGCAACGTAAGCAAACCATTAGGGAGTTGCAACGCAGGAAAAAGGCTTTGCAAGTCAGCGATTCAAATTTGAAATTTAAGAGTTCAAGCACCACACACTTGTGCAGGTAAGATCCCTCCCCCAGGGAGATGCAGTCACAGCAAAACACACAGGTCACACCAGGACAGCAACAATTTCCCCCTTTTTACAGAGTTTGCAGATGCAAGACACTAAATGGTGCCACAGACTGACTTAAAATGTCCTCTTTAAACCTTGGAGAGGACACCTGGAATTCATCTACCTTCCTCAAATCTTGTCCTAGCATACATGAAGCAAGACTTGTAGGGAGTATTTTAATTAAAACACATTCAGGCACACACACACAAAAGGAACACCCACCTGTGTTGGTGTGGGTGCTGCCCTGTCAGCAATTCAGAGTACAGGCTGTCAGGTTACAGAAGGCTAGTCTGGATCAGTCCTTAGATGTGACAAAAAGCAAGTCTGGAAATTCCTAAACAGCACTCCAGAGAACCAGCGCTTCCCAATTCATGAGGAGGCCTGAAGAGCTGTTGGCTGTACCAACTTTCAGCCCACAGGCAGAACAGCAGAACCTGTAAACTGTCATCAAATATCCCACACTCTCTTTTAAAGACGTTGCATCTTGCAACTTCTAGCATCACCTTCCCTCACAGCTGATTTCACCACATTCTCCTCTAACCTTCCAGCCCATTACTCCTTCCTCCGAACTCCGATATGTAGTGTCCAACTTTCCTGGTAGACAGCACCAAACCCTTGGAAGTGAATAAATGTGAAAAGCAATGGCAGCCTGAAGTACACAAACTAGTGGGATGCAATGACAGCATAATTAATACCTACAGAACTACGACTGCAAAAGGAAAACCAAAAGGTTCATGATGGATTAACTGTCATTTTTGCTCCCTTACAGGCACATGGAAACAATTTTAACTTACAAGTATTAGAACACTCACAAAAATCACTAAAAAGAATGAAAAAAATCTGTATATGAAGACAGGTCAGTAACTGAGATGATTGTGAAAGAGGTATCATCTTGCAATATATTCTGGGAGCAGATGAAATTTCAATTTTTTAGGTCTTGTGCAAAAAAAAGTGGCTTATGTTGCCACATACAAAACACTACAACTTTTTAAAGTGATTTTTTTACCAAAACATTTAGAGCAGTTACAATACTACATCTGATTATTTCACTGCATCCAGTGTTAATTACATAAGACCTGCAAGGTTTTTAATAAATGAGAAAACATAAAGTAAAACAAACCTAACCAACCCAGAGGCATTAGGAATAGGTATTTTGCAAAAGAAACTTTTATGTTTCTTCTGGGGACTTGCTTCTACTGCCAGCCACCAAGACAAAACCAAGTTGAACAACAGTGGTGTCAACCTGCAATTTCTACCCATAGCTGGGGAAAAAAACTTGCTAATGATAAGTCATTTTTCCTAAGTGACAAAATGTTCTTGCTGAAAAACAGCTGTCCCCTTGATAACGAGGCTGAAGGTTGAGTGCTGTATTTATTCTGAATATGCTGGCATTTAGCATTCCTGATCACACTTTTTGCTTTGGAAGGACAGCTATTTTTCAGCACCTACTTCTGAGAAATGAGTGTCACCTTAAAAGTAGTTAAACTGAATAAAGCCCTGCAAGGCTAATCAATATTAAGACAGATCTGAGGAAAAAACATGGCTTGAAAACAGCATATTTATATTTTATTTTATAAAAATTAGTATTTCAACAGAAAAAGTTACTATCCAGTAGATCGGTGGAAATCCTACATCTGTCCTGGTCATTGTGGCAATTCTGCACGAGTCTTATGTTTTTTGCAGAGAACAGCAAACATGGCAGCTGATGAAAATATCATCATTTAAAAAAAAAAAAACCTATCCACAGAACTCCTTTACAGGAGCACCCAGCTATTTCTTTGCATAAGTGATTTTCATGGCATGAGATGGAGTGATCTTGAACCCCTGGAGGGCATCTCGAGCAGCTCCTGCTTGGTTCTCGTTTTCAAACTCCACGAATGCGATGTCGTGGCGCCCAGGCACTAAGCGAACTTCTTTGAATCCAGGAAACCTGTAAAATAAGGTGAGAGTCAAATCATGTTTCTTAGCTTGATAATATATCTCTCTTCAGTTGCAGTAAGACCTTTTCAGAAGCATCTACTAGTGCAATAGTTATTACTAATGAAAGATTTAAACTGAAGGGTTTTACGTGTCCAGTCCTTAGAACTATGCCTCAATTAAGGATCGTAAGGTGGAAGCAATTTAATCAGTCTTGTATTCATACAGGAGCAATCAAAGCTAGCTTTAAAACTGCTCCTGCAGTCCTAAAGTCTTTAAGATTACAGTCACCAGCTTAAACCCAGTGCGGATTGATAGCAGATAAATTACACAATCAAAACCAGCTATGAAAAAGATTGGATTTGCTTCCTGAATCAAGTCATCAGAACTGACATCTGCAACCTTGGCAGTAAGACAAAGAACTACCTTCAGAAGAAACTCTTATTTCTATAAAGTCAGCTTGCCAGCTGAGAAAGCACACACAGGTAACGGAAGAATTCAAAGGACAAGCCATCTCTATTCAAAACTTACTGATTGAATAACATGGACAGCATCATCTCATTTGTTTCCTCAGGCAAGTTATTAAGGAAAAGGATATAGTTTGGTGGGTTATCAGGCACCTGCAACAACAGAAGATCAAAGTTCAGAAGATTATACACAGTTACCCATTCTTCTGCATCTGTCTGCATGATTATTTGAACCAAGACACATGCCCTTAGCTTTGCTCTTAACATTCTAGCTGGGCTTCACAAGACCTTCAGACAGAGCTCATTGGCTTTTACAGTGATATATTAATTTGGAGAGGTTCTTATTTCCACAAAAATCACATTAACATGTTGTCTTAGATGTCACATCTTAACAAGTCAAGAGCTGACACTGCAGCACTCTCCACACCCAGGTGGCTCAAGTAATGGCTGAAGTGCTGTCCAAGACACCCATGTGGCAGTGGAAGAACCTAGGAGACTCACATCCTTCCAGAAGAGCAGTGGGAAGCCAAGATGAATACCCTGTTCATCCACAGTACTACCAAAATACTGAATATCTCTGAGCAACCCAAATCCACAAAACCCACATGGTTTTACTACAGTGCTCAATTCAAATTTATTAATTAGAAATCTCATTAGATTAAAAGCTTTAGTCTTTGACAGATTTGCCTGCCGATATGAATTTGAAGCCACCCACCAGACACAAGGCTGAGCAGCCATTTGCTGACACTGGAATCTCCAAGTCATCCAGTAAATTATAAGACACAACTTCAAGTCACCCTAATAATGGCGCCAAGTAATTTAAAGCCTCAGCAAAACAACCTCCTTCAACTGATGGAAATATTCCGGGCAGTGCCATTAGAAAATAAACTTCTGATGTTCAAACAAATACCCAGAGAGTGTTGTGCTTCGACGTGAACTGATGTACACATATTGTGCCTGAAAACCCAGAGTGGGAGCAAGACTTTTCCCCTGTAGATGTATGCAATTCCCATTACAGTACTCAAGAAAGAGATGCAGGGCAGGCAAATATAGTCTTCTATAGTATTTGCTCTCTTTAGCACCCTCATTTCTAACACGCATGAATCATTTAGAAGGTCACTGAGCAGACGAGACGAGTGAAGTGTTGGGAGCTGTTGCTGTATCTCCTCACAATCCTTTGGAAAATTAGACATTTATAAGAAAAAAGTAAGCAGAGGACCCCCAAACTCCTGAAAGGAAGCTTTTAGGCAGATATTCTGGCACCCTGTATTGTCTTCCTTCTCCTTATCTACTACTAGAACAAAATAAGTTAAAGGGAATTTATTAACAATGATACTAAACACAGTCCAAATTTAAGAATCCAGTATGACTTGATAAAAGTGCTGTTTTCTGTATAATAATAAGAAATTGCAGATTCTCATTTCCTGTCAACCAGATATAGTAAAAGGGGGATTTCTTTTGTTTGTTTGCTGTGATTTAGTTGTAGAACAAATGTCTCACAGGCCAAAAAGAAAACTGTAGAATATACTCTCAAGTTTCCCTGTGTAACAAACCTATTATTCATAGAAAATAATTTTAAACATTAGTGCTTTTAGTTACAAAAATAAAAAAGCAGTACCTGATTCTGTGGTGCAGTCCCTGGGGCATTAGCTGAATTTGGTGTTGCTCCCTAGCAAATAAATACAAAACAACTTTACAGAGGTGTTCTGTTAGAAATATATCAGCACACATCACCATGTTTCTATACAACTCGCGACATTTGTTAAGGTTTTTTTAAGCTACAATCCAAGGAACATTTGTTGCTTATGAGATACTTCCCAAAGGGAACAAAGCACATGAATTTTGCTGACCTCCAAAACCAGGCAATCAAATTAATAAAACATCAGTAGTATCTTGTCTGACTAATGGCTGAGTCAACTATTTCTCCACATTACAAAATTCAGTTTAACAGTCAGGGAGGGAGGAAGCAGTTTTGAAAATGAAGGCCTAGGACTCCTGGTTTCAGTTGGGACAAAATTAATTTTCTTCTTAGTAGCTGGTACAGTGCTGTGTTTTGAATTTAGTACAAGAATAACACTGATAACACACTGGTGTTTTGGTTGTTGATAAGTAGTGCTTGTTCTAAATCAAGGACTTTTCAGTCTCTCATGCTCTGCCAGTGAAGAGGTGCAGAAGAAGCCAGGAGGAAGCATGGCCAGGAGAGCTGGCCCAAACTGGCCAAAGGGATATTCCACAGAACATCATGCCCAGTATATAAACTGGGAGGAGCTGGTCAGATGCCTTGATGTTTTCTGCTATACTTCAGCACAAAAATTACTAAATGTTGTTAGTGTAGGCCAGGCCAACCCTTAGTGGAGATACATTTCAAGCCAACTCCTTTTCACCTAATTATGAATTAATTCTCCTGTTCCCATTTACCATTCTGCAGTGCTTATAAGGCAATCAAGGCATTAAAACACTGAAGGAAAAGCTGGTTGAGCACTTGAAGCTGGCATTAAAGATAAGCACACATTTCTTCTCTTCCTTTTCTTAAAAGAGGTTAGTTTCTACTTTGGTTTACTGTACCTTTGCCCTACATCTTTATTTTCATCTGGTAATAGCAAAGGAGGAAAAAAAAAAGGAACAGCAAGGACTGTAAAATCAGTCCACTCTCCTTCAACTTCTAGCAAGTGCTCAAGAGCACTAGATACCAACAGACCCCAATTTAGGAATTGAAAAGTACCAAAAGACAACACTTAAGTCTGAGAAAAAAAATATTTAAAACAGCTTTTGTGTTTGTTTTTTAATTTTTTTAAACAGAGAAGCAGCTTACCTGGATAACCTTTTTATTGGGTGCATTTGCTGACTGCTCCAGAGTTTTGGCCTTCTTCTTTTCCTTCCTTTTTTCCTTATCAGCAAAAGTCCCGCGCATTTTAGAGATGATGTCAGAGTCTGTTTTTGCATACTGGATACGCTTTTTAAAAGAAAAAAGAACAACCCAGTACATTTTGCAGTTAATAACACAACATTTTGCACCCCTTCCATTAACTGTGTATTTATACATTTTTTGCAGGAACTTCTTACACTAAAAATATTGTTATAAATTGTAGGTATTCTTACGGAGATTTAATCCTCATAATTAGTTCTGAACGCAATTACAGAATGCTAAAAAAAAACCCTAATATGGAAATTACTAATTTTAACTCATTGAAATCAGAACTCCATCTAACAGCATCTTTTTAACATCTGTCAAGGTAACATGTACACAGAGATACAAGGACATTTGACAAAATTGGCACTAGCTTCCATTAAAAAACCTGTTAGGGTTTTTAACTCCATTTTAAGGGGAACTAAAATTTGACAGTGATTTCTTGTATCTCTGCAGAGAAGTAACTGGTCAGATTATGTGACCAATACTTCTGTTCTAGAACAAGCAGCAGTCACAAGCATTGAGGCCATGTTGCTGAGAACACAGCTGCGTTGGGCAGGACACATCTCCAGGATGAAGGAGCACCGCCTCCCTAAGATCTTGCTTTGTGGTGAACTTGCCACTGGCTGCTGCAAGAGAGGAGCCCCAAAGAAAAGATACAAGGACTCCCTGAAACAACATCTCAGCCTTGGCCATATTGATCAACATAACTGGTCTACTCTGGCCTCCAATCGGGAGGCCTGGAGACACACCATCTATAACACTGCTGCTTCCTTTGAGAACGCACACAGGATCACTCTTGAGGAGAAAAGACAACGCAGAAAGAATTGTGTCTTGCAGAATATTCCACCTAAGGAGTCCTTCTGCTGTGCCTTTTGCAGTCGGACGTGTCTATCTTGTACTGGCCTTTTTAGCCACCAGCATGCCTGTAACAAATGTGGGTAGAGCCCTTCCCAAATCTTCATTCGTGAAGCCCAGCCCTGATTGATTGCAGAGAAGTGAGTTCAGCAAAACTCAGACATCTTAAATAGAAAGGCAAATACCCACCTTAATCCAAATAGGATTGCATAAATTGTGTCAGCAGCACAACAGTGCTGATTTTCTGACAAAGGCCCCCCAGTGCAGGAGGGTAAGCAGGTGCAAGTAGGACTATACAGGGGTACAACGTTATGTATGCACACAATCCTACTGTTTTCCGTATTAGAAGCTACCTCAATACAAACTACTTAGCAGCTGAAGATTCATTTTAATGCCTTTGTTTAGTGCCCAGACAGAGTATGCAGGCTGCAGGCAAAGCTCAAAGAGGGAAGTACACCTGAGAGCTTATGAAGCCTTAATCTTTTTATTTCTTATTGAATTTCACTGAGCACAAAACTCCTTAAGGATAAACAATGGCAGGACTGAGCTTGCACAATTCAGTGTAAGGATTTCATTAGAGAATCTGAAGTTGTTAGTGAAAATAGCTCAGCAGCATAACTGTCTCTGCTCTCTTCAGTGCTCAAAGCCACAGGCTGAAAGCCAGTAGTAATGTAGCCATCCATCATGTATTGCACCTCACCAACAGCTGCAGAATTAAGAGATGCCTAATTATCCAAGTATCCAACTACTATCAGTTGTAGTGCTATTCTGCATGTTATCGAGTACATTACTAATTCATGTTTATCAACCAGCAGTGTATTTGCTTCACTGAAGTTACACTGAAGTGCAGTTACTTGGTTTGGTGGTCTACAATCAAGCAGAACTAGCCCTCAATGAAAAATATTAAATCACTGAGCACATCTGGAAAGTAAAACTGTGGAGATCTTCACCCTCCTCACTGTTACCTCAAAAAGGGAGCATCATGTTCCAGATATTCATTATGAATCTAAAAGTAGTTAAGGTTACTCTACATGAAGTAACTGAAAGCACCTAATTTCAATAATATTACAGAAAAAATTTAACTGATTCAATGGAAGACATGATGAGGAAAATGGAAGTATTTAAGGTAAAAACTGTAATCCAGCAGAGAAAAACAAAAAGCCATCACTTAGGAAGCCTAAATGCTCAGTTCAACCTCTGTGTGTATTCTAACTGCAGTCTCTTCAGCATCTTTCTAGATACTCATCAGATACTCTAGATAACACCCAGGTACTCCTTAGGATGTGACATGACTGAGGAACCCTTCAGTAACAAAGTGCAAGTAATAGTTCACTCCCAAGGTAAAAGTACCAAAACACTGTATCACACTATCATGGGGTTTCTCTCTTTAAAAAGGTAACAAAATAACTTACCATTGGTTTCCCATAAAACGGAAAGCCTTGGAGCTGTCTCAAAGCATTGGTAGACGACCCAAGTTCCTTAAATATAACAAAAGCCTGTCCTCTCATCTTCATGGTCTTTAAAGCCACAATGTCGACCACGTGACCAAACTGTGAGAATAAGGCATACAAGGACCTCTTCAGCTCTGGGGATGACAGGAGAGAACAAACTAGAACAGGTTACATGCAAATGTCCACTTCTACAGAGTCTGCTATCCTTCAGAGACAATGTTTTTTACCAGCTTTAGCTCAGTGATACTTTACATCCGTTTAGTCAAAACTGCTGCACAACTTTATTTGCCCAGTTTTTGTAAGGTGGTGTGTAACACTTGGTTTCACACCTCAAGTATTCAGGTAGTGAAGAAGTTGTAGCACCATCCATTCTATCACTGCAAGGGAGTAACAGTTACACAGAGGTAAATACATATTTTCATATATGTATATATACACACACCCCCATACACGCAGGTACCATGTATGACAGCCATCAAGATTGATCAGAAAATCAATACTGCAACAAGAAGCACTAAAGAGCTGGACTTAAAACAAGAATGCAGAAAAACAGTAACTACAAGGGTAATTAAATCTGGAAATTTTGGTTGTAACTGTTTAATCAATTCTCTCAATTTTAATCAATTTTTTCATATTCTGGATCTGAGTTGTTTTCCTATGGTCCTACTGCACCTTACAGCTGCAATGGATTTACTTTCATTCTTTAAAATCACCTGACTACACGCCAAATGAAACCTTAATCTTATCCAAATCAAGCCAAATAAATCCTCTGTACTGCGTAATCATTCTAACTCACAAAACCTTATATTTTAAAGATTTCAGCAAGATAAGAGCACTGCCTCTTGTTTACTGCTGTTGAGGCTTCACAATATCAGCCCACTGTCACTTTCTCCACCTGCTCCTGACCAACCACACTGATGTGGCTTTTTTTTAATATAAAAAGCTTTTTATCAAAATACTTTTCTTAAAAATTACTTCAAAACCTGTATTAAAATAGGAAGATATTTGTAAGCTTTACAGATAATTATAAGCCCTCCATTTGCCCCATGGGGTTTAACATGACCAAGTGCAAGGTGCTGCGCCTGGGTCAGGGCAACTCCCAATATCAATCCAGGCTGAGGGATGAACAGGGAGAGCAGCCCTGGCAAGGACTTAGGAGTGCTGATGGATGAGAGGCTGGAAATGACCCAGCCAAGTGGACTGGCAGCTCAGAAAGCCAACCGTGTCCTTGGCTGCATCCAAAGCAGTGTGGGCAGCACAGCAAGGGAGGGGATTCTGTCCCTCTGCTCAGCTCAGGTGAGACCCCACCTGCAGTGCTGCCTCCAGCTCTGGGGTCACCAGCACAGGAAGGACATGGACCTGTTGGAGTGAGTCTAGAGGAGGCCACCAAGTTGATCAGAAGGATGGAGCACCTCTGCTATGGGGAAAGGCTGAGAGAACTGGAATTATTCAGCCTGGAAAAGAGAAGGCTTGAGGGTGACCTGATTGTGGCCTTCCAGTACTGAAGGGAGCCAAGAAGAAAGATGGAGAGGGACTATTTACAAGGGCCTGGAGAGACAGGACAAAGGGAAATGGCTTCAAACTGAGAGGGTAGGGTTAGATTAGATATTAGAAAAATATTCTTTACTGTGAGGGTGGTGAGGCCCTAGCACAGGTTGTCCAGAGAGGTTGTGGATGCCCCACCCCTGGAAGTGTCAAGGCCAGGCTGGATGGAGCTCTGAACAACCTGGTCTAGTGGAATGTGTCCCTGCCCATGGCAGGGGGCTTGGAACTAGATGAGCTTTAAGATCCCTTTCAGCCCAAACCATTCTGTGATTCTATTTAAGAATTATAACCATGAAATTTCATAATGGGGACTTATTAGTTTATAGGGCATTTAACATGCTGCAAAGCCCCAAGTTAAATTTATTCACAGCAGAATCATCTTGACATGTCATTGAATAGTTCATCAGCAAAGCTGTTTTCACTTTTGGATGTCTCTCTGAAGCACCCTGAAGAAACATTTAAGTAGTGCTATTATGATCCACACACTCCTTTCACAAACCATCACTTATAAATTATCATGATCACTTTAGATCACAAGTGGATGGTTTGATGCAGACATGGAATATGCAGCCAGGTAAGGGCAAGAGAGCACACTTTGAGGAGCTAAAGTTCCTCACCACACAGCCCTCTTCTCTCTGGTGTGGGCTGCAGGAACCCCAGGACAGTGTTTGTAACACAATGACACAAAGTTGACCAGCTCATACCACGTTCACACCCTTAAGCGAGGAGCACGCTGAAGTTCCTACAATTCGGCAAGAGGGGGCTGCTGACCACCAGAACGTGTGCCAACACGCCTGTTATCATCCACTGACTATTCCCATTGCTCCTATACTAGTTACTCAGTGACAAGCAAATCTGCAGCCAAAGAACTGCTGTAGAGAGTCAGCGAGAAGCTTCCGTAGAACGAGGTTTCTACAAAAAGACTTAAAACCGATATATTTGTTGGCTTCAGCTGCTGTTTCATTACGAGCAGGCGTTTGCGAGAGCTCGGCTCACGACCACACGGCCCGGCCCTTCAGAGATTCCCAGGAGTCCCGGATCCCACCGGATCCGCCGGGGATCCCCCCGGGAGCCAAGTGACGCGTGAGAAAGCACGACTAGGCCCCACGGGACAATCTCGGCTTCCAAGTGGCAGCCGCCCGTACCTTCCTTCTTGATCTTGTCGTTGATGTTGTTGATGTAGATTGTGTGGTTCGGCCTGATGTCCATCCTGAGGACCCGCCTGCGGGCAGAGCACACGGAGGGGACGCGTTAGCGGCTGCGAGCCCCGCGCCGGATACACCGCACAACCCTGGGCAGCGGCGCCGCGGGCCGGGGGGGCTGGGGGCTGGGGGCTGCCGGACTGTCTGTCTGCCTGTCCGCCCACCTAGATCCCGTATCCCGGCTCCCAGCCCCACTTCCCCCCTCGCGTCCCCCCTCACCTCTCCCTCCTCCCGCCAAGATGGCGGCGGACGCAGCGCAGGCGGCACAGCCGCTCCCGCAGCAGTCGATGGACCGAGCGCCGATGACGCCGATGGGCAGCAGGATAAAAAGGGGACAAAAGCGGGATGAGGATAAAAGGGATAAGAGGGAGATGGGCGTAAAAGGGATACAAGTTTGTTGCCGGCTCCAAGGAAGTCGCAGCGAGGCTAGGAATTGGCCCCGAAATGGACGTTTCTGCCCCGGGGTTTAGCTCCGTCCTGTGCTAAGAGTGATAAGCAAAGAGAAATGTGGGGGGTTTTATCTCCTTCACAACCTAAAACAGCAGCTTTTGAAAGCATAAACTCATAGAATGGTTTGGGTTGGATGGGACCTCAAAGACCATCTCATTCCAACCTCGCTGCCATGGGCAGGGACACATTTCACTAGTCCAGGTTGCTCCAAGCCCCATCCAACCTGGCCTTAAACACTTCCAGGGATGGGGCATCCGCAGGTTCTCTGGGCAACCTGTGCCAGGGCCTCACCACCCTCACAATAAAGAATATTTTCCTGATATCTAATCTAAATCTACCCTCCTTCAGGTTAAAACCATTCCCCCTTGTCCTGACACTACATGTCCTTGTAGATACTCTCTTTCCGTTTTTCTCGTAGCCCCTTCAGGTACCGAAAGGCCACAGTTAGGTCACCCTGGAGCCTCCTCTTCTCCAGGCTGAACAATCCAAATTCTCCCAGCCTTTCCTCATAGTAAAGGCGCTTCATCCCTCTAATCACCTCTGAACTCACCCCACAAGTCCACATCCTTCCTCTGCTGGTGACCCCAGAGCTGGATGCAGCACTCCAGGAGGGGAGAAAGCAGCGACTTCAAAATGTCTGTAGACACTCATTAGTTAACTTTTGTTTCTAGCTTTGATATTGAAAAGGCAAGGTATCAGCGCATGTAATTTCTCTGAGGTACTTCAAAAATCCCTGTGGTGGTGCTACCTCAGGATAAATAAACAGAGCAGAGATTGAGGTTGCAGCCCTTGAATTTTTGGAATAATTTTGCAGGCTGCATGCCTTCATTTCTATGAATAATTAGGCAGGCTTTTAGGGAAACAATTTTAAATTGCAAAGATTTAACCCGGTTACATATAAAAAAGAAGTTCTTGCAGTGGGGGATATAATCAGTAAGGTAGTTCTCTTCTAACCATAAATTTTGCTTGGACAGGCCATCACTTTGTAAAGAGGCAAGAATATTAGGTAGAATTATTGTTTCAGTTATATTTTATGGAAAAAAACCCAACATTACTCCAGATTCTGGAGTATTTAGGAAGCCTAGAAAGGAAAACATGGGTTAAAGGGAATTGAATGTAAAAGACAAAGACAAAAAAGCTGTTGATTGAGGTGTTATTCACTGGTGGAAGAAAACAGTGTGTTCTGCAGTTGTTTACAGCAGGGTGTGGTGTGGGAAATGGTGTGTTAGCTGATGCCTTATACAACGCATACATGCCACAAATTCAGAATATGGCAGGCAGCAGTTCTGGTCAAATTTTAGAGTCCTATTTGTCTTTCTTTGGTTATCTTAGAGGTAGTTGTTGACATAAAGTGTAACTCTGAAATCCAAGCATGAACAATACATTAAAATGCTTTTTCAGAAAGGCTGGCTGTGCTGTTTTGTGCCTTGATCAGCAGCACAATCCATGTACACTTATAATTTGGTAACAATGTTCAAAACTACTTATTTGTTATTGAGTCCACATAGCTAAGGGAATTGGACTGGCAGAATCAAAAATCTTGATGTTTTATAAATGATTTTTAAATAAAGTCCTTCAAGTGTCCATAGAGAAGAGACTCTAAAGAAAAAAAAAATTACAAAAAATCCCTCAACTTATTGCAAAGCAAGGAAGAATTCATGGCTTCTGTAATTCATCCAGCACAGGCTGCCACACTTGTGCTTGCTCAGAGTCACTTTAAGCTCAACTGATTTACTCCTGCAGAATTTGAATGCAATAAAGCAGAAAAAGTGTGTCTTTCCTGCTCCTCAGGTGGGATTTCACAGTCCGCCTGCCACTTCAACAGAAGTGACTTTCATTCCTCAGGCTGCCTTCCTCCTCCCTTCCCCAAGGTTCATTTGGATTACTTCTGTTTCCTCAATCCTCAAACAGAGGTATAGTGTTCTCACATTTACTAAAACAGTCATTTATTTAAAGGTCCCTGAATGCTTGAAGTATTGTAAAAATTATTTCAAGTTTCTTAGCAAGAATGCCTGTAGCATCTTAGTAAGCAGTGATTCATCACCGATATAACAGGCTGGGAACATGCTTTCAGCTTGGACAGGTACCTGTTTCATCAGAGGTTGTCAAACAGCACTGGAGAAACAAAACAAAGGGCACACGGTTCTTGAAAATGTCTTTGTAGCCACTTCTCTTCCCCCTTCCTGCCCTCTGCTTAAGGTCAAGGAAACCCAGCATTTCATTATTATTGTTGCTGTTTGTTATGAAACCTGTAATAAAAATCAGATTTTTTTTTCCTTTCATCTTCCTTTTCTAAATTCAATTACATTCTCTGAGGTAAAAAGAACAATAACAAAGAGCTGTGCATGCTGGAAGTTCTGCAGCATCCTCGTGGCTGTGATTTGGGCCACAGAAAGTTATGCTTCACACTTCTCGTGGTTGTTATTTCCTGTATGAAGACTGTGGAATAAGCAAAGTTTCCTTAGTTTATCAGTACAGGAATATTTTCATCTTACCTGTGTGTGTGTAATCACAACCACACACTAGAAAGAAACACGAGTGGAAATGTTTTGTGATATGGATTTGTCTGCAGTATTTTTGTTCTGCCCTTTGAATGCCCACTTCTTCTGTGTCAAGGAGTAAGGTAATATACAATCATTAGATATTGGAGCATGGACAAAGACAGTGAGGGAAATGACAGGAAATAAGGAAATTCCCTAGCAAGTACAAGCAGTGGTGCTGTGAGCACTTGCAAAGTCAACATACATGAAGCCTCACATTTAAGACAGAAAAGGTTCTTTGAAGGGTGAACAACTTTGGGATCTATATTCATGTGGAAGCTGTGAAAGGGAAGGAATTGCTCCCTACAAATCCGGTTGCTGAGCAGTTGGACCGCCTGCCTTTGCCCAAAGGACCGAGGGGTCTGCAGTGATTTACAGATCATTGTTTGCAGGCTCAGGATATGTGATCTCTGTAAACTAACAAAGCAGAGAGAATGGACAACATGATGGCAGAACAAATTTAGTATTGACAAGTGCTTGGAAAAGCATTTGGAAAAGAATCGCTTGAACCACCTGAATTAACTGTAACCACACAGGAAAAGGACCTGGCTATTGTCCCCCTTTGGGGGACAATAAAACACCTAGTAGTAGGGAGAGAGGCAAACAAAAACACCATATGGAAGGGGGAAAATGTACTGCAGTTCCTTTAATAAGGCTGTTTCATAAAAAAACTAAAAAGATACTTGAGTGTATTACTGCTTGATCTAAAATAAAAGAACCTCCACACATTCATGTGACATTTATAATTGGCAGTTTGTGCTTTTAATTATTTAATACATTGCCTGACAGACAGTAATTTAGTCAAGGGGAAGAGTACACCATCACAACCAATTATTTATCACTGCTATTTCAGAGGAAAATCATTCCATCATGGTTAATCCAACCATGATAGGTTAATTTGCTTGTTCTCTTGACCAAGTCACCCTTACCAAGGGAAACAATAGCATTGAATTTTATTTCTTTGGGCATACTTCTAGTTTATGGCAACAGAAAACAGTTGCAATGTTCAAAAGAAATAAGTTATCATTGTTAAGTGAACCAGAATTAAATTTTAGGTGCTTAATTAGTTATATCCAGCATAAACCGGGAAATTAGTATATTTCACTTTTTGTGTTTCATAAACATGCTCAGAAAAAAATAACATACACTGCTAGACTGGTCTTTCCTTTATGGGGAGCCTGTTCCCTCTCAGACCAATTTTTTGCTACTGGCAATTTCAGGGCCTTGCATCTCTTACATTACACTGCTGCCCCAGTCCCCTGGGGCAAAAGCTCATCTGAAACTGCAAGTTTCAAGTATTCAGCTCCTCATGTTTGCTATATTTATCATCATGGTGATTCCCAATTAGTTTTTGTGTGCTAATATACTGGAAAAGATGAAATGTGGGTAGCGCTCTTAATTTCATACAGACGGTTCCAATTTAGTTCAGGGTGCTGGAGTTGTCCTTTTATTAGCATTAATTGGTGACAGTGCCATTTGTCCACACTGTAACTCTGAGAAGAATAGCAGAGCTCTGGTTTGATTTATTGTTGTGCAAGAACACTTGCATTCCTTCCATTTTCTTTCAGTCTGGGTTAATTTATTTTTTTTTTTAGTTTAGCTGGAATCAACATATTAACACAGTGTAAATGGTGTGACTTACACTGAGCATTTGAATTCAATACTTTTGAATCCTCATACATGTGTGATATTGCAGTATAATAAAACCAAGACTTACCTGCTTAGCTGTATGAAATTGCCTGGTTGTTTCCACCCTTTTTTTGTAAAAAAGTCTCACAAAGGCCAGTCCCCATTGTGAACATCCTCACCCACATTCATGCAAACCAGTTTCAGCTGTGGCTCCTGCAGTATTTCCCTTGTTCCTGAATTTTCACTGGCCACCAGACAAGTCAAAAGCAGCAAGGCAGGTCTGAGACCAAGTGAACAGCCTTGTTCACTTGTCTGAGACCAAGTGAACAGGTCTGAGACCAAGTGAACAGGTAACTCTGTGAGTTACCTGGCCAGGCACTGTTGCAATGCAGCTCAGGTAAGGACCAGAGGTCATAAACTGAGCCTAAGCACAGCTCCCAAGCAGAGAGAAGCAGCCCTGGCAAAGCTTCTCACAGCCCTTATCACAGCAGCCTGAGTCAGTGTCACCACTACCCCAAGTCTGCAGATGGGGAGGGAATAGAATATGTCCTGGATGGAAGAGCAGGCCTGCCCTTGAAAACATAGATTGATAGGGAAACAGAGACAGATTTGCCCAGCAGGAGGATATCAAGAGCAGAGCTTTGATGACACCAGTGCTATGTGAGGAGGGAGGCCTACACAGCTGAGGGTTCCCACAGTGCTTACTGGCAGCTCACCATCAGCGTCAAATGTGGGGCTTTATGAACAATAAGAACCTATAAAGAATCTCTTAGATTTCCAAATGCCTCTTTCTCAAGCCAGCTCAGCCTTGAAATTGCTAAGACCCATGCCAGGAGCAAGCTATGAAGCCATAAATAAGCTTGGTTTATTACTAGTCTTACGGTTAATAATTACTGCAGTTTGGGCAAACAGCAGTAGTAGGCCCCACTAACAAGTTCCGCCTGGCCTTGTGCTGAGTTTCTGCCAGTTCCCTGTACAGATACTAATAAAGCTCAGGAGATATTACGATTGTCTCATTCCTTCAAACATTTATTGATTTAAATCATTTAGTTCTCAGTTGCAGCAGACACTGGGGAGCTGATGGTAAATCATCCTAACTCTGGTACTTGAGTTGACTGTAAATTTACCACATCTGGTAGAACTGAGCTGGCTATAAATTCTTTTAGTGCTCCTAAAGCTTGGCTGGCTGTGGAAAAGACTGCAGGTGTTGTACTACCCTATATTTGAAGCCGTGCTGGGAGTCAGAGAGCCTTTCTGTGCTTATTTCTCATTTAGACTCAATGTGGCAGAGCCCCTTCCAAGTGTTAGGGTTCTCCTGTGCCATTCACTTAAAAAAAGCCCTACATCAACAAATGGTGCAGATGAAGATCAACATCAAACACGGCTTCAATCTCCTCTCCATCAGAATTCCATGCAGAGCAGCTCTGTAAGCGTTGGTTCCATTCTGACTATGATTTACACCATTGTGCCTTCAGGAATGTAAAAGTAAATCTCATCTCTGTGAAATGAAACCTTACCTCCAAATGCATAAATTTCCCACCTCCAGTGAGTGAAATGAGAACAGGTGCTTGGATAGATGAACATATGAAGCTGCTGGATTGAAATGAGGTGTGCAGGTGGATTAAGACAGTCCTTTCCACTGTGCTTCTGGTCACAAAGTAGGTCTATACAATATGAAGCAGTCAACATCCTAAATCAAAAAAAAATGTCCTGGTTTCAGCCTGAAAGGCAATTATTTCACACACAGCTGGTCATAATTTTTCTAGAGAAAACTTTTCTCTTGAAAGATGACTAAAATTCTTTTGTTTAAAATTATTCTTATAAATTATATTGAATTTTTTGAAATGGCTTTTGTTCTTCATAAAATGGTTAAAACACATGAATATTTTTCTAGCACTGAAAAATTTTGTTAAAAAAGGTATTTTTCTTTTCTGGCAAGACAGAGGAACTGTGAAGTCTCCCCCCCATACTTCTTCTCCCTCATGAATTCTGTGTGAAGTGATAGTTTATCCTGGAGAATCCTATGCAACCGATACAACTTCATTACTTTGAGGTTAGTCATTTTTCAGATAAATGTGAAAATGTGATCTCACGGTTGCTACATGAAAGTGAGTCTACACTGCTGCCAAAGGTGTGATTTCCTGCACAGGGAAACATTCTTGCTCTAACAGTGAATTAGCTGCTTCGTGAAGCAGTGACATCGAGGTGACAAAAGCACAGAAGGATGACTTCTGTGAAGCCACTGGTGATCGCAGGTATTTGATGGCAGCTTTTCACTGCTTTTCTCTCCCCTGCTTAATTCAGGCAGGTGTTGAAACCATCTCAGAATGCATGGAGAAGTGCAACCATAAAGCAGATGAGAAAAGTGATCTCCTCACCTCTCCTCCATCCAAGAACATGGGGCAGGACCAGCAGGGCAGAGCCAGCTTAAATGAGTTTCTCAGAGAAGATGCACCTATTGGGTAGCATTGCCTGAAAATACAGTGCTGCCTTCTAGGCTCTCCTTTCCCAAACCTGCAGTGTTAGAAATATAACAATCTCTTGCTGTTTGCTGATTGCAAAATATTTTTGGAGTTTGAGGTTTTTTTGGTCTAGGTTTTAACAATTCTATTGGTCATTGTGCATATTTAGTCCTCCCTAACACATGTTAGGATAAAAGCAGTGTTAACCATTCACAACTAATGACAAATTGAAATTTGGGGGTTGACAATGCATTTTCTGTGAAAGAGAAGAATTTTCTATGGCCTGTCTTATGCAACATTATAGTATCAAATAAAGACACAAATCTGATTCCATTCTCCTGTATTGGATTTGGGTGTTCCCTTTGCCTTGTTTTCTGTCCAAGCACCCACTGCTGATCTGCAGCCAGGCCTGCGAGGGGCAGCCCATGGCTTCTCAGCTCTGGCAAATCAGCCTCTAATCTCCTAAAAACAGGAACTGTGGGTGGGAACTGGCATCCAAAACATGTCTGAGGGGGAGTCAACTAATGGGTTGCATTTATTGATCACTATCACACTGCATCCATGCCTGCTCTTTATAGCTAAGCAGCAAACAAGACTTGGGATTGTTATTGCCCCTTTGGACTCTAGCAAACTTTGAACTCTCAACTTCAGGTGATAATCAAAGGGAGAAATTCATATCCTGGGGAGGGAATAACATGTCCTTTAGCCCAAGTGGGTCTATCAATGAGGAGAGGATGAATAACATGTCTCAGGGCTTGGTGCTCATGTCTCTGGACCCTGAGTGACTTTCTCTAGTGGCTGTGATGGTGTCACCTCTTGTCTCTGCACACTGAGACCACAGCCATGGATTGTGCCATAGCTCCTATCTCAGGGGTTGTACTTCCCTTCTTCAATGAGCCCTTTGAAAATGTTAAATTTTTTGCGGAACATCTGTTTATATACAGGGAATGTCCATGTGCTGACTTTGTTCAGCAGCTGCAGCCTTTGAGAACTTTGGATGGGGATCCTGTCACCTGAAGAAATACTGTTCAGCAGCCAGATTATACACCATGAACCATTCCTTCAGGGAATTTATCTTAAACTCATTTTAGGCTAACACAGCCAGAGCCATATATTACAGCAAGGGGCAGCCAACCCTTTAGATCTGCTAAGTGTGATTGAAACACATTACTCACTTTCTCGCTACCTGGACAGTTTTATCCAAGAAAACAATTGTTGGGGGGAAAACACTTGGTCATAGAGCAATGTTAATGATCCGAAAGGTCTCTTTGCCCTGACTTTAAACCGGAGCCAGCTGCCAGAGGAAAAATCTCAGAAAATTAACAGTTCTATGGTACGCTCAAATCTTTTTCAAGTAAAAAAAAATTTCCTTAGGACATTAAAGTATTAACAATATTGGCAACATCAGTACAAACCCGGGTATTGACTCTCTGTTCATACAATGTTTTTTTCTTGATGATAAGACCATGCAATATATCTTCTCATGATGTGAAGCAGGCAGCATTTTGGGATGAGCAAGCCTACAGGGAAGGCAGACACAGTGCATAAGGGTCCATTCATTTGTTAAACACCTCAGTATTAACTAAAGACTCACCAGGGCTAGAGTGGGAGGTTGTGAGGAGTGAGAGTCAAAGATGTTCCTCAGAGGATGCAGATACCCTGCATAATCTGATATAACCAGCATAATGGAATTTAAAGAGAGAAGAAGACTCCTGGTATCAGAATATTGGTGGGAGTTCTTGGTAACCAAGAACAGGGAATAATAATATTTTCCTTTCTTTTTCCAAATACTTAAACAATGTCCTAATCTTAATTCATCAGAAGTATTTTTGGTTATTTGGTTGTTTTTTTTTTAATCAACCCATGTTTCCTCTAGACTGAAAGAGATGCTTCTCAGTGGGTACTGTGTAGGTGAGAAAAACTTCAGATTAACAGCAAATTTTCCTTTCCCTGGGGAAAAATCAGTAAGGACATGCTCTTGAAAGCAGCATTCCTCTTTCCTTGTGCATTCACAACAGTATAAGATACAAAAAGCATCTCCTTTTCCTACTTTTCTGCCATTAGTAACTTCTTAGTTACCAAACTACAGCAGTTCTGCCTTAGTTTAGTGCTAGGAAGGTTCAAGAGTCATATCTTTTAAACAGTAGATAGTATAACATCCTCATGATATGGCTCTTTGTCTTTTAGTCTAGATATTAATGAAACAATCACCTTAAAAATGGAGGCACTGTTTCTATTCCTTTTTAAAATAATAATTAAAAAAATATGCCCAGTTTTAGATTTGTCACATTACCACACATTGATCCTGTAAACTGGAAAAAACCAGCCCAACTATCAAACTTCCCATCTGATAAAACCAAACTGATAACTCAGGCTTGTTCTATGCTATATGAATAGAAATGGCACTGTTACACTTTGGGGTGAAATAATATGGTATGACTCCAGAAACAAAAACAAAAAATAGAAGTGATTTTTAGATTAAAAAAATCACGTTAATAATACTTTCCTCACACAGGGGAAAAAAAATGATTTTGTGTTTGAGTCTGATATTGCAGGAGCAGATAAGCACTGATCCACTCATTCATTTCGGCAAGGGCTCTTGCTCTCAGACCGGAAAGGTCTGCCGGCGGGATGAATACGGCTTGTTAGCATTCGTGAAAGTGCCTCCGTGCTTTGTTGCCAGGAAACAGTAATGAAAGTATAGGGATGCCAGCTTGATGATAGGGATGCAGGGCAGTGGCATTAATCCCGTGCTTTGCAGACACAAGATCTCTATCATTTGCACACACGAATGCTGGCACAGCCTGTGGGAAATCTCTGAAGATTCTTTGGCTAATGGTCTTGTAGAAACTTATAATGTTATAAAAGGTTAAGCCAACAACAGCATCATGTTAGAGGTTTGAAAACCATCCTCTACCATGTAGAATACAGTTTTATGGGGTATATATTCATGCATAAAGTGTTTGTGCTGTTTGCTTTTTAGGTAAGGAGAGGACAGCAGAGGTGACTTGCATTTGCGAGGATCAGGGGCCATCGAGTGTTGTCATTAGTTATTGAGCCAAAGAATGTTCACATTTTCACTCCAAAAGGCAAAGAAATTAGGATGAGGCTTTTCTGTGATAGGCTTGCCTGTGAGCAGAATTAAGACAAGACCTCTTGTACGACCCAGGGGTGGGGATGCAGTGGTCAGGATCTCACCGGAATTTGAGGACTTTTATTTTTGTTTCTTGCATGCAGTATCTTTTAGTGTTTGCTCAGTGGGAAAGACACAAGGTTGATATTTATGCATTCATAAAATGGTAGAATTTTTAAATGGTTTGTCCCACTTTATGTTGTTCTTATTTTCAAGGGATTAGCATCAGTTCCTAGTAAGGGTAATGAAGCCTTGAAAGTCTTATGATTCTGCTGCTTTGGTTTTTACCACTACTTCAGAATAATTTGTTCAAATTTTTGTGTTAGGAATATTGTGAACTATAGCAAAGACTTCAGAGGAGTTAAGATTTTTTTACTTCTTGCAAGTCAGGGGGCTGCGTATAATGAAAGTCTGAGCCTGCTTTTAGTCCTTCTGTTCTTTAATCTTCAAGAAAAGCAATCTTTGTGTATATGCTACTTCTAAAATGACTCTAAATGTGCTTTGTAAATGCTCAGTGGAAAGTATAGCTCAGCTGAAACAACACTGGGCATAAGAACATAGGCATCAGCAGCAGCTGCACGTCTCCTTGCCATTACCAGTGCCTGTCACCCTGGAAAACTCTCTCTGTTTCTGATACCCGGGCTGCCATTTATGTCTCTTCAATTGCAATCATCCTGAAAGCAGCAAACCTATATCTTGTTCTTAATTATTCAAATAGCACTTCTTGAGAAACGTTTAAATTTGTAATAATGCTCATAACTTCCCGCAACAGAAAGTGCTGCAGAGCTCCCCGCGCCTTGCTTGGGCTTGCATGCAGAAGAGGCTGTTTTGAAAATTAGAAACTGTTAGATGACATTTCCTTTTAGCAATCTTGGGGAGCTCTTCCAGTGCTGATGGCAATCACCTCCAAAGCAAAAAAGTGCACTAACCTCTGGTAAATGTCTCTCGAGAGAAGCAAAAACAATCTTGTGGAAGGTATTACCCAGCTTCTGAAGGAAGAGCCGGGGTAAACAGGCCAGTTGTTTGACCTTTCCAGATGATGGGACTTGAAAATGGGGAGATTAAAGAGGCAGAGCTCGTTCCTCAGAAGGGAGCTTCTCCAAAAGGACAAAACAAAACAAAAGAGATGTGATGGATACAGCTGCCTCTCTCTAAAGCAAGTGCCAGCTGCCCTGCCTTTGCAGAGATGAATGCCAACTTTACAGTGGCTTGGTGGTGAGTGGGCACCTGGAAAATGTCTGTGATGGAGTGACCAAGCGAGATACCCTTAGTCAAAGGAATGTCTTTTGGGACTCTGTTAGCAGACAGATGGTTTAGGGCTACATTCCAAACATAATGGCTGAAAACTGTGATCCATATTTAGCCTGCAAGGACCTTCACTGCCCAAAGCTGCTTCTTCTTTGCCATCAGCATGTAGAAACATACTGGTTAATGCCACTTTTCCATGTGGGATTAGCAACATGTCTTTGGACTAAACACTGTTATAAGGTGTTTCATTTTAGCCTTTGAATGGTAAATGCACCTTAAAGTTGCACTGACTTAAATTCCAGGGCTTTTTTGATTTACTAGACTCAATTTCATACATGAGCAGGTTGGTTTTTGTTTGGGGGCAGAGCTCATTTCTCTGTGACGTGGCAGGCTGGGCAGGCATACGGGATAAACTGCAGGCATGACATTGTATTGTTAGTCTCTTGCTTCTTTTGAAGCAGCAGAAGGGTTAGATGGGGGGATGTTGGGGGCTGTACCTTGGCTTTCTAACAGGACATACAGCTCTGGCTGTGCCCTTTCCATCAAGTCCATGTGATCCAGTAATGGGCTGTGAGCATATGGTTCATAAAAGCTCTGTTCTCATAGACTTCTTGTGTGACCCTGCGCACCTCCTTTCCCTCCTTCCTTCCCATGTTTTTTTACCTATCTTCCCTATTCAGGCTGCAGATTCCTGGCACAGAAGGAGCTATGCTGCAGCACATCTGTCATCATGGGCTTTCTGGCTTGACTGAGTGGATACTCCAGACATTTCATACAGCAATATAAATTGTTATTACCAATAATAGTATTACAGTATTTAACCCAAGGCAAGAAGGGGAAACATAAATTCTCTCTGGGAATGCTCATCATCTGAAAGTATGCTTGCAACAATATCCTATGTAAATTCTGTAAATGTGCCATCATCATTAGAGCAGCAATGATGCTTC